CTGTGTCTCCTCTTTTAGGTTCAGGAACCTTTGCCCTCTTTCTCGTCTGTCAGGTTTGCATTTCTGTGACTTCCCCCGGTACATCAGTCCTATTAAACCAACCAGAGACCCCGAAATCTGCAGCCGAGCAAAGACTGAACTTGTTCGTGAAAAGACAACAAACATAAACTCAGTGGAAGCCACAGCGCTGTGGAAACAAAGGCTTCGGCTGGCGTTGCTCTAAATGCAGAAGTATTATTGTAAAGAAATGTATATTTGGGTTTGTCTGGTGTTTATCAAGGAAATTAAATGCAGAGTAAAAGCTAATCAATAACCTTACCAGCATGTATCACAGTAACGCCAGGAAAAGCTGATTTAGGTGTCCACTGTGAGACACGCAGTAAATATTCAGCAGCAAGTCCTATTCCATAAAACTGTGGCTGCTTTTCATGCATAAACGTCGCTACGTGTCGGGTGATGTGTGAGAGCATGCTCACAGTGCTGACTCGGGACAGCTCCCTGCAGGTGCTGAGCAGCCCATTTTGCAGCACGTCTCTCTGCTGGACCAGGCTCTGTGTTGCTGCTGCACTGGAGTCGCTCTGTTCACTCAGCTCCTGACTGGCAGACAGCAGCGCCGTCTCCAGAGTGTGCTGCCACACAACACACAACGTATTACTGCATATCCGCAGAGAGAGAACACACATGCACATGTCCACAGCTGTACCTTCTCTCTGTGCAGCTGCTGCAGCTTCTCCTCCTGCATCCTCACCGCTTTGTCCTGCTCACACAGTCTGCTCAGCTTGGTCTAACACAGCCACACAAACATGCCCATCAGTAAATGTGTCTTTGAAACGTGTCGATCGTTTCACTGAGAGCTGCCCGTCTTACATCTATGTCGGCCTCCTCTGGGCGCTGGACGAAGGCGCTGTCTTTGTAGTCCTCTGAACCCGTCTGAAGAAGAGAAACAGTCAGAACAACACATCTGGTACAACGGAGAGCTCCAGCTCAGGTTTTCAAAAAATACTAAGAAATGTCACAGGATGCGTTCAGGGATTACTCCTCGACTTTTTATACACTAACAGTCAAAAGTTTGGACTTGCCTTCTCATTTGTTGTCGTTATTTTTGCTACTTTCTACATTATAGATACAAACTGACATCAGATATATGGAGTAAGTATATGGGATCATGTAGCAAAGGAAAAACTGAGGAATAAATATGTTTTATATTTTTGATTTCTGTAGCTGCTCTTTGCTTCGTTGGCAGCGCTGCAAACCCTCG